CGCGGGTGCCTTGGGATTGATGATTAATTCGGTTGTTTTAGGTGTCATGTCACTCAGTATCGAAGGTTTGGCTCGCTTGGTTGGAGGTGCTAAAAGGTTATGGGGTATCGTTAATATTATTCTTGCCGTTTGTTTAGCAATGACGGTTTTGGTCACCAAGTCCGCCGAGCACTACCGTGACACTCACCATGTGGCGGGTTCCACCATTCCGCCGCTTCCGCCTGCCGGTGTTAAGGGTGGCGCGTTGGCTATTTTTGCCGTGCTTGGTATCCCTCTTGCGGTAAGTTCATTATTATTTCATCATGCATCTTTATTATTATTATTATTATTATTATTATTATTGTTTAATTTAATGTTTATCACCTTCTCCTGAATTTGTTAGAGCAATTATTTTTTTGATTTTTTCCTAAGTTAAAAAATTTATTTTCATATCCGTGAAGTGTTTCTTGTTTTAACTTGGCTACGTTTTAATCGTTTTTAAGTAAAATAAAAGCAATTAAGTGTTATATTATGGTTCTTTAATTATGGTACAATCAAACAAGAGAATATTAATTAGTTGAGTGATTATACTTTGAATATGGTGTGATGACCAACTTGGCTTAATTTTCTTGTGATCATGTATCGAACTACGAGTCATTTAGTCCTAGATAATGTCTTTGGTTTTGTTTTTTAATTTAATTAGAATTAGAATAATTTTTTTTTTCTACTATGTAATAGAATCTTACAAGTAGGAATAAAACTGTAACAACGCAATTTAAGGTTATTTTACGGATCTTCACAATGTTTTATCTTTTTTCTCACTAAAAAAACGTAAAGATAAAAAAATATTTTTGTTTTTGACTTTTTCTAAAAACAAGATTAATAAGAATGGTAAAATTGTGTAAACCTTTGTGGTAAAAATAAAATTAGGAGATTTTGTGGTGTACGGAATATAAGTTACCTCACTATCATATCATTTTATTCCGTATATTAAACTATTTACTTGACATGAGTTCACTATAATTATGCCACTTTTACATCACTTGAAACACTCTAAATTTAGTAAACTATAAAAACTATTTTTTTTTTAATATTTTTTTTATATATATATAATTCTTATAAAGTTAGTAAAAAATTATGATAAGTTGATTGGCTCCCTTCCATGCTAAGTTGTTAGCCAAAAGCTACACCGTCCACGCTCAAGAAGCAAGGGAAGATGGGCCAGTTTTTCTTTTGGACTAAAGTGCTACGAGTAGTTTGAACCAAATTAATAAAATTTGAAAGTCTTCCTTAATTTAGTAACAAACGCCTTTTGAAATAACTACTGTTTTGTTCTTGGCAGTTTTTGCCTATAGTCTAACTTCAACTTGTAGCTTTTCTGGCTGTTTTCGCTTCCATTTGTTCATATGACAAAAACAAACATTTCTTTGAGTTTTGAATTGTCTTATACTTCAATGACAATTGAAAGTGAATCTGAATCTGAAAGAAATTCAATTTCTAGGACATAATTGTGGTAGTATTAGCTTAGATTAGTTGTCCATATCGCAATATTTAATTAATTAATCGATTTTTTACTTTCTACTTGATGAAAAAAAGACCGATAGTGAATTCATATGTTGACATCAGTGTTTCTCCGTATAAGTTAAAAGAGTGAATCGGTATTCTACACTACGTGTATGTATATGTGTTATTCCTTCTCAATGAAAATAACGTATGTATGTGTTTTTTTATTTTTTACCTAACAATTGCTATATTTGTGAAATCAAAGATTTAAATACGGCAAATATTCCGAGTAGGTGCAGCGTCGTATATGATTATTATTTACCTATGAATTGAATTTGTGAATAACTGAATATTAATTGATGAAGTATTATAATGTGAAAAGAAGAAAATGAGTTGACAATTAGAGAAGACTAGTGAAGTCAGATTAAGATCAAGTGCTGATTTTCCATGGATTATTCTACTTGTTTCTTGTAATCAAAGATTAACTATAAACATAGGTCCATGAAAATTAATGAATGAGTCATGAAGTTATAATTAATTAAGAGCTTCTTTTTGACCGTAGAGGTCAGGTAACTGGATATAGTTGTTGGGATGTTTTCTAAAACTCAACTGTCTACTTTTTTAATTTCTTGGCTTCAATCAAACCACATAAACAAAAGACGAATCTTATCCAATTTTAATCTATCCTATCACATATATTCCATGACTTTATGTTAAGCTCCTTCTGGTTTAAGCTGTTCGAATTTTTTTTGTTTTTGTTTTTTTTTTTTTTAACGTGTGAACATTAAAAGATAAACTTTTTGTGTATATGTATATGTATATGTATATATTCGAGAAAACTTATTAATTGTTGTCGTGATATGTATTTACAGATCACTTTCAGTATCCCCTTCGCCTTGGCATCAATCTTTTCAGCAAATTCCGGTGCAGGACAAGGTCTCTCTCTAGGAGTTCTTAACCTCGCAATCGTTGTACCACAGGTAATACCTTCATACAACATCATTTAACTTGTTTTTGACCCATTGGACTTATAACTACCATAACCACATATCTTAAAACGTACACGTTTTATCCACGAATTCGATCAATTATGTTGTATAATCAATCTCTAAGGACCCTACAATAAAAAACATATGGTTATGCCACATACCAACTTCCATGAAATGATGACATAGACTTATAATAAATTTGATCTTTTGCTTTCGATATATTTAGTTAGACGGAAATTTCGGAGTAATTACATAAGAACTTATATTTCAAGTTATTAAGTTGTAAGCACCGACCAAAAATTAAAAGCATACATTTTATATGATGGTGCATGCAACTTTTAAGAAACAAGGGTCAAGTTGAAATCACCAACTTTTTTCATATTTGAAGCAAAAGATTAATAAAGATGTCATGTATTTGTGGTACTACGTTAAAGCATTACTATAATCTGGTGAAAAGTGACTAAGCAAAATCAACAACTAACTAACGAGAATATTAACTTTTTCGACAATGTTGAGTCTTATTTGAGACAAAGCTCGCTATAATTTTTAAATGAAAGTGTTGGCCAAATTTTCTAATAAATTATTGTTAGACCGTGTCATACAAAATTTATCAACTAATTTTATTTCCTGAATGCGTGGTGAAAACAGATGTTTGTGTCGGTAACAAGCGGGCCGTGGGATGCATTGTTTGGTGGGGGTAATTTGCCAGCATTCGTGGTGGGAGCCGTAGCAGCAACTGCCAGTGCAATTCTTTCCTTTACAATGCTACCTTCTCCTCCTCCTGATGCCAAGATTGGAGGGTCCATGGGTGGCCATTAATAAATTAAAAAAATTATAGATTTGAAAAGAAAAAAAAAAAGTTAACTTGCCTCTGTAATTAGAGAGAAAAAAAAAAGCTATTGAATGAAGCTGTTAATTTTATGCATGCCTTCATTCAAAATGTAATTTCTCTCTCTCTTTTTTTTTTTTTTTTTTTTTGGTGTAACTTTTGTGACTTGTTTTTGAGATGATTAAGGAAGTAGAACGGGGGATTGGCAAGAAATTGCTGGGGTATAAATATTGTCCCTCTTTGTAATTTTCAGTAACATTTGATAGTCAGAAATTGAAAAATCAAACAAAATGAGTTGCTCTCATTTTTCGATCCCTTGTATTGTTTACTCTAATCATATATTTTTTTTTTTTTTTTTGAGAATATTATGGCAGGCTATTAATTACCGTGATTAACCAAATTAATAAGTGAACAAATGAAGTTGTATATAGTATGATTATTTTTTACTTAGCACAATCAACAAGATAGCCAAGAAAGTGTTATGTGCTCGTCAAAAAAAAAAAAAAAAAAAAAGGGAAAGTGTTATGTGACTATCACCATTTATTGTTTTGTTAAAATGTGACAATCACTAATTAATTGCCCAAGACAACAATGCAAGTTTGAAAGTCAAATAATATATGCAAAGAAAGCAACACTTACCCTAACAAGTAAAAGATCTATCTCATTTAATTTAGAGTTTGAATGTTTGAAAATATGACTATACGAGTAATAAGTTGCATTATTCGAGGATTTTACTTTGAGTGTTTGAATATTATTGTCTATTTTCACCTCTATAAGACCATTAATTTATCATTTTGAACTTTAAGGCCTTCCCATCAGGGTTTGATCTAGTTCAATCAGGCTCAACTAGGTTTTAAATATAAGGTGAAATTCAGTGCTAATAAGTTTAGTTGAAAAGAACGTACCCTATATTATTACTCCTTATATCTCTATCCCTAATTATGGTAGTGATCAAGCAGAGAAAATCTACTCTATGCATCACTTAACAAAATAAATGATGGGAAAAAGTTCTCGAGACATATTCGATCGATACTCAATTCTTTCATAGCATCACTGACTCATCACTAATGATTATGACATTGCGCACTATGATTTGATGTTATCTTATTACCAAATTTAAAGATATTCTAAACATACACACTTTAAAATCTAATAAGATCACACATAATAAAAAAAATTCCAATACTCCCGTATAATCATAGTAATTTTTTTTAATCCACGTAAGCCGTAAATGGGAAGATCATTAATTCTTTATAAATAAAAAATAAAAAAAAACTGATGGCGGGGTATTATTATAGCATAATATAGTCTTTACCTTATTTCTTCCGCTCCACTTAATCTAAAATAGTTTAATTCAGGAAATATCTTAATTCTTACCAATAAAACCTCCAATTTAAGATACAAAATCCAAAATTTGACCAACATTTAATAAAAATAAGGAAGGTTATGAAGATAATACTGAACCAAAATTGTAAAGTCCAGCTATTCACATTGCAAGATGCAGATTCAATCAATCAATCCATTAAATTCATATCCAATTTCCATAAATCATAGTGTATATTTTTTTCCAAATTACTCTTATGAGTCTTATCCCACCGTCATTAATTTAAACTTCCCAAAATTATGGACCATACTTTTTATATAAATACACCCAATTTTATCTCTTTTCTATCTCAAATTTCTTACAATAAAATCTAAAACACATTTTTACTGCTTCAAAAGTTATCTCATTTTTTCGTCGTATTCTTTGAGATTTTTTCTGTGTTACAGACAAAGAATTTTTTTGTTTTTTTACAAAATCATGGATATAATTCAAGTGGAAAATCAAGAAAATGGGCCAAAAAAAGATCCAAAAAGCCCAACATGGAAGCTAATATTGGTGGCATCAATTGGAGCAGGGGTCCAATTTGGTTGGGCCTTACAACTTTCTCTTCTAACCCCATATGTCCAACTACTTGGGGTCCCACATGTTTGGGCCTCATTCATTTGGTTATGTGGCCCAATATCTGGTATGGTGGTCCAGCCCATTGTGGGGTATAGCAGTGATCGGCTAACGTCGAAGTACGGTCGCCGGAAACCGTTCATCTTTTCTGGAACAGTATTGATATGTATCGCGGTGATGCTCATTGGGTTTGCGGCCGATATCGGGTTTAAGTTGGGTGATACACTTGATAAACCTACTAAACCAAGGGCTGTTGCTTTCTTTGTTCTTGGGTTTTGGATACTTGATATTGCCAATAACATGGTCCAGGTAACTTTTTTTTTTTTTTTTTTTTTTTTGGAGTATAATGTCATAAGAATTTGATTTTTATGTGATTTTTAAAGTTTTGAAATCAATGTTATCTATTGGTACATTTTTTTGGTATGGTAATAAAGTGTGATATTTCTAGTTAATATTTATTTATGGTTAGGTTGAAAGGGAAATAAATTAGATTATTTACAGCTAGATAAGGTGTTATTGAAAGGATTAACCGAATGTGCTAGCTAGTTTGCGATTAACGACAAGTAACAACAACGAAGATGGAAAAACAAGTAATAAACGAGACAAGGAGAATTTACCGAGGGAAATCCGAGAATCGGGAGAAAAACCTACCAATCCACTATGGAGTAACAATTTGATGAAGATTAATGTAGTTTACAAGCTTTCATTCGCCATGAAAGCTCCCACCCTAAACTCACCCTCTCAAACACTCAAACCCTAAGTGTTTGTGTTTTACATGAGGCTCTCTTTCTACATCTTTCCCTTCATCCTCTTACTTTCTACAATGACAAAACAAGAGTATATATAGTGCTAGGCAAAATAAAACAATCCTACGGTCTTAAATAAGCCACATCGCTTAAGTCGCAAAACCGTAGAAAACAGGGGCACGCACGAGGTTCGATCGAACCTACCCCATGTTCGACCGAACTAAGGGTGGTTCGGTCGAACTTTCCAAATGTTCGGTCGAACAAGGCACTCAATAGTAGCAGCTCAATTTCTTCAAATGGATCGACCAAACTGTTCAAAAGTTCGGACGAACTTCCGCACTGCGCGGATAGCTCTTCGTAACATGGCTATAACTCCTCGATTCTTGACCAAATCGAGCTTATGACCAGTCATTGGAAAGCTCTTGAGACGGTCTATCACCTCCAACTTGAATCATCTCAATATCACTTCTAGATCTTGAGATATGCCCATTTGAAGTCAGCCCTTTGCCTTCTTGAACCGTTCTCCACACTTCTCAAACCCATCAGTTATTACTCAAAAAAAAAAAAAAAAAAAAAAAAAAAAAAAAAAGGTGTTAAAATCATACCAGTATTAATTTGGGTACATTTAATTTGGTGCTATTGGGTACAGGTGGATCTGTATAACAAAGTTTTGGATGAGGATAGATAATTTTGATAATATGCATATAAATAAGTACTCGTATATTATTTCCTCAAAAAAAAAAAAAAAAAACTATTTCAAATAAATCGTATAAATAAATTCATGAGGTTATTAAATTGGACCTAATATTTGTACCGGCAAAAAATAAATAAATTGACCTAATATAAAATGGTATAAAATAGAATTTAATATTCATAATTCTTGTCGGCTCATAATTTAGCAAGGTGTATGCAAAATAAGAGAAAATCTAATCCTCCCATCAACTTAGAGATATTCGAAAGGTACCAAGTTGTGTCGTGTGCATGTAATCCTTATAAATTGATGTTTAGCAAAATGGTGTTTGGTAAACTTTTGATATTGAAGGGTTTTACAATTGGAACCGTTTATTCTTCCCATCGCTTTCACATCATCGAATCCACATTATTTGTGACAACCTTTCATGTAAGATAGATTCTCAAAATTCCTTCCACAAAAAAAGTGTCGCTTTGTACAACTAAACTATTATATCATGAAATGGTTGCAAATCTTATATGGAGGCCGGTGACCGATCACCTTTCATAATTTCTTTAATCCAATTCCTCGACATCTATATGTTTTTTCTAAAAGTATTGCGTATAAAATTTGATTAGTCGTTGTATCTCGTAAATTATATATAACTTTTGCTCTAGTTTTTACCTAAAACATCCCAAATTTTCGATCTAGAAGTAATCATGAGACGATTATATTGCATTATTACTAACGTTTGACGTAGTGCAAATGTAAGATGTGTAGATAATGTCTATTGCTTTACTTAGGGGTTAGGTTCAAGGACCACGAGAGATGCTACAACATAATTCACCAAATACCACTGAGTTTTAACATAATTCACTAAATACCACCAACATTTTTCGAATTCACCATATAACATTCAGTTTTATAAAATGTCACAACATGCCATTTCCATTAACTCAGTTAGTCATTAACGTTAATTGTGCCACGTGGCAGTTTGTAATTGGTTCTAATTAATATTATTTAATTAATTAATTAACTTTAGAAAAATTATTTTAAAACATAAAATAAAAATTAAACACCACCAATACAAGCCACCGTCACCCCCGCCGGCGACAATCCCGACTCCAGCCATTTCCCGTATGGCCGACGACTGCCCTCCTCCCACGCCGGCAACAACCCCGACCCCAGCCAGCACCTTATCCGAAACCACAAACACAAAACTGCCGCCTAACTTGCTGAAAAGCACCACCACGAAACCCTAAAACACCAAAAATCGAAACCCTAGATTAGGGTTTTAGGGTTTCAGCGTACGTGGTGGTTTAGTGGGGTGGATATGGCACCGGGATAGGGCAAATTCGTTCGCCGACGTGGGGGAGGGGGGTTTGGGCGCCGACCGGTGGTTAGGGGAGGGTATTCATGGGAGATGCGGGCACAGCGGTTCAGGGGAAGGGGAGGAGCGCCGACGCGGGGGGTTCTGGTCGGATTCCGCGCCGACGCGGGGGGTTCTCGTCGGATTCCATGCTGGCGGGGGGTGTCCGGATAGGGTGGTGGCTGGTTAGGGGATGTTGGTGGTGGCTATTTTTTTTTTCTTTTTTTATAATTTTTTGATGAATAATCAAAAAATTATTTTAAAATTGAATAATTAGGAAGGGAACTAATTATACGTTGCCACATGGCATTATTAGCCTTTATGACTAACGGTGTTAACGTCCGTTAGTCATTTATGGCATTTTGTGACATTTTTATAAAACTGAATATTATATGGTGAATTTGAAAAATGTTGGTGGTATTTGATGAATTATGTTAAATCTCAGTGATATTTGGTGAAAAAAAACCGTATTTGTTTTGTACAAAGAAAAAACAAAAAGTTCTTTAGCTTTGCATATGTTCTTAGCTGATATGAAATATGACTGATGCAAAGCATAGTTCAGTTGATCTAGAAATGATGAGATGATATTGTCATTCAACTAAATCATGTGAATTGTTCACATAAATATGGGTGGTCCTTATATTAGTGGGTAAATATTTGTGATACAGATGTTTTCAACTAACATGTACTCGGTATGAATATGACCAAAAAGAAAGAGAATATATGTCCATTACTAACAATTTAGGAACTACATACTATACATCGTACATGATTAGTCTTAATGTAGAAAGAAATAACAATTATGATGCTGATTTTTGCCTACATGTTAGGTAGAATTCATTAAATTGAAGGTTCTGACATTATTATGACATGATTGAAGTGACTTGTTATCGTAAAGTATTTTTAATGGTCGAGGCCATCATATATAATTTGCATTGTGGTAGAAATTGAACTGGTAAAGCAAAATTATATCCGTAAAAGTAAATACACGTTAACATGATTGTTATGTTTTTGTGTTGTAGGATCCCGCAAGAGCATTCTTGGCGGATCTTTCAAGACACGACCACAGGCAAATGAGAAAAGCCAATGCATTCTTCTCATTCTTCATGGCTATAGGCAACATCTTAGGCTATGCAGCTGGATCTTTTAGTCGTCTCTACAAGTTTCTCCCCTTCACCCTCAACAACGAGTGTGAAATATATTGTGCCAACCTTAAAACATGCTTCTTCATCGACGTCGTCTTCCTACTCATCCTAGTCAGTCTAGCCCTCTTCATGGTCCGAGAGCCCAAGTTCGAAAAAAGATCCGAACACGAAGACCCGTTTTTTGTTCAAGTTAAGTCCACTATTCGAAATTTGGGCCGGCCCATGTTGATGCTCTTCTTAGTGACAGCCGTAAATTGGATTGCTTGGTTCCCATACTTGTTATTTAATACTGATTGGGTTGGTAAGGAGATTTATGGGGGTAATCCTGCTGGGACTGAGGCCCAAAAGCATGCATATGATGATGGGGTTAGGATTGGATCATTGGGCCTCATGATGACTGCGGTTACTTTGGGCCTTATGTCATTGACTATTGATCCTTTGTCAAAAGTGCTTGGTGGTGCTAGGAGGCTTTGGGGGGTGGTGAACTTTGTCTTGGCAGTGGCTTTAGCGTTGACTGCCGCGGCCACAAAGATGGCTCAACACGCAAGGAGGTCGTCACCACCAGGGACCTCACCGCCTCGTGGTGTCTTAGCCTTTACTTTAACTCTTTTTGCTACTATGGGCATCCCACAAGCGGTACGCACTTTCTTAAAATCATTCATAAAGTGTATTATGTACAGTACTTAATCAAAATAAGTAACATTTGGACCATTGTCGACACAGATTACCTTCAGCGTTCCATTTGCTCTAGCATCAATGTTTTCCTCTGATTCCGGATCCGGTCATGGTGAGTTTCCTCAGCCAAATTATCACTATAATATATTTTACAACTTTTGCTTATTTTCTTTACATTGATAGCTTGGATTACATATATTTACAACAAGAATCTATACATCTTTCTAGGGCTTTCACTTGGAGTATTGAACTTGGCAATTGTCATACCTCAGGTACATTTATTTGTGGTTGCACATATTACAATTATACAAGTATATCATATTATACACTCCAATACTCCATTTCATTTTAATAAACCTGTTAAATATACCAAAATTGTTAAAACAAGTCTTTAGTACAAATATATGTTGATTCGATTTTCATTTTTCATAGCATGATCTATTATTATAAAACGTAGAAGAAAGTTGATATATTATAATGAAAATGTAGCACAAATGTCATAAGATATATACGTGAACAAGTACTAATACTAACTGAAATCATATGTTTTATATAATTGAAACAGATGTTCGTGTCACTGATTAGCGGACCGTGGGATCAACTGTTCGGAGGTGGCAATGTCCCTGCATTTATGCTAGGAGCCGTGGCAGCATTCGTTGATGGAGTTCTTGCTTTCACCGTGCTTCCTCCTCCGAGTTCCAACAGTTGATATGAGAGACAGCGTTAACTACGTACAGCTTAAGTCGATGGACCCTAGTTTAAGTTAGTTTTAATCTTTAATTAAGTTGTATTTGTAGAAGATTAAGTTACTCTCTATGGTTTTGGCTAAGTACTCAATCAGATTAATGTTTCATTGTCGATCATCAGTTAGATAATAGAAGATTAAGTCATCTATAGTAGTGCATTTTATTCATCACCTAATATTTTATTGAACTTGTCTTAATTTAATTACAACTACGGATCAAATTCGCTAAGCTACTTATTGGAACTTTACTAGCACCAATGTAACAAAGATTAAAAAACATTATAAAACTTAAACACAACTTCCTCACAATATATTTGAATTCATTTTTTTAAAGTGAAGTGATCTTATATATTAACCCAAGTTTATATTACGGTTAGTTTAGATAAGTTTATATAGTAGATAAGGTCAAAAAAGAAAAAAAAAAAGTTTAGTCAGTGCCACAAAACCCACAATGGTTCCAAGTTTAGTCTACAACTTAAAATAATAGGGAAATAGTTGATGACCTTTATGTCACAAGCAAATAAAAATAAGAAACCATAATACAAAACACTAAACACCATCACATAAGGCTTAACATCAATGACAAACCACAACCATTGTAGAACCTTGTAAAGACACAAGGTATGCATCTATGAAATCCAAACATCCAACTACAGGAATAGAAAGCATAAAAGTAATTTTAAAATCAAACCCAATCTTGAAGGAGTATTTTCGCTGGAAGATAACCCTCAGATGCAGTGCATGGAAAACTTGGATGGTACAGAAGTTGTATTAGAGCCTTCAATTCATTCACCCACTCAACCTTCCGGCAGAGAGAAGGATGTTGAAGAAGGAATTTGCTGATTTCTATAAACTCTGCAGATTCAGTAGGTGCCGGAGGGAAAGAGAATGAAAATCGGCTTAAGAGGTACTTGGAAAAAGGAGATCTATCCAGAAAGTCAGAAGGCCTTAACCCCATCCACTTGATATTAACATAGTCAATGTCGCTGACACCTACTGACTCGCAATCTTTGCACAAATCCCAACTACCATACAACCGTGGTACCTCCTTAGGTGGTGTATCCAGAAAGGTCAAGAGCTCAAGATCACGGATATCCATATCAGTTGCTGCAACAATAGGCACATCTGGTAGGCATTTCCTAAGCTTTCTAAGGAACAAATAGCTAAACTTGTCCCACTTGACGAGAATCATTAGGACATCATGGGCATCTGTCTCACAAGTACGACTAATATGATATTGGTCGAGCTCAATAAAATTGTCCATATTTAAAGCAAACATCACAACTTTAGCAGGAGTAGTCAGGTTGGTGATGTCCTTAAGAAGCCAGCGGAGTCCTCCAACAGAACGAATGCGCCGTTTTTTGTCTTGGCGGTGAGAATAAAGTGTACCAGTAACACGCAAGCTTTCTTCATCAAATGACAGCTCCTTGGGTTTGTATGAATGAAACTCTTTTTTGTAATAGTCTTCGTCCTCATCAAAATCTTCGTCCTTGTAAACATCTTCAAACCTTACCCAATGTGGGACACTTAGCAGAAGAATAACTGAGGTGACGGCTGATGAAGGCAAAGAATCCAATAATGTTCTATTGTCGTCGTCATAATCACCCTCATCATTGTCCAACATGGGTCCCCAAGGCAGGAGCATCAGTCGCATCAACTCGGGATCAGGACGCGTCCGCCCGAGTTCATTTTCTATCATATCACAGATCTGAATTTTGATCTTGCTTAAAGTGTCTGTCATTAAAACATCAAGCATGATCGTCCGTGCAGTCACTATCATCACCGATAACTGCACCAAAAATGACAAATTAATGAAAGTGCATGTTGTTAATAAGGATCAATGAAAATTTTCAGCAAATTAAAAAGATAATGCAGTATAATGGGTAACAGAAGAGTAACCAAACGATGGGGAGATAAGGACAATTTAAGACCCTTGCTTTTCAAGCAGGACATAAATTCAGATTGCTCACATGAACAAGTTCACATTCAATTCTTATTTCTTAAGGTTAGTATATTTTGAAAGAATGGAGCATTCATGCATTAACAAGCCAAAGCCAAAATATTTAAACTTATTAAATGAGATAAAAAAAAAAAAAAAAAAAATTATGGCTCTCAACTAACTAAATCAAATGAGAAAAAGGCTAGTTGAAGGTTTGTATTACAATGTTGTTGAGTAGAACTAAAGAGCAAAAAGGGTTAAGGGTGCATTCTCTTCACCATTTAAAAAAAAAAAAGGGTTTAGTTTTAATGTTCAAATAAAAACAAAACTAATTAGCTCATTGATGCATTAACAAGCCAAACACAATGATTAATTAATTACAATATTCCTAACTTTGTTTCGAATTTCTCTTTCATGCTCACATTCATTCATAGGAGAAATTGTGGATTTTGAATTAACTAATGTTTAATTGAAGTTAATTCTCTCAAATTCAATTGATGTTAGATTGAATCAAAATCAATTCAAAAATCAAATTTGCATCAAACAAACATAATGAAGCCATGTTCACGAAAAGTCCCTTAATCACAATCATAACATACAAGCACATACAAACCGATGACATATACTCAGATTACTCACTCAATATTTAACAAAGTAAACAAATTTATAATTGTATTCTATGCCACACATTCTACTACTACTTTGCACGAGATCAAAATTAAAATAAACTTTGCACGAGATCAAAATTAAAACAATAACCAATACGCAATAAAAAAAAGAGAGCCAAAAACCTAACCGAAACATTGTCATTGCTGGTACCATCCAATTTACCATTGTTGTCGACCAAGTGTTTCACTACACTTTGCATCCTTTCTCTCTTTCCGAGCAAAACAAGTTTATTTCTTAGCAAAAAAAGTAAAAGTCAGTGATTTTTCACATGTTATTGATGTAATTGAAAACATAACATTGCACTACTAAATTAACACTACTAATCAGCAATGAAAAGGATTATAATACTTTATAGCACCAGACCATGATTGGAAAGGGTAAAGAGATTCATAGTGAAATTCAAAGAAAAGAGGTCTAATTTCATACTTCAATTCTAATGGTAAAGGGTCCTGCAACACATTCATTCGTAATTTCGTTGGTAAAATTAGAAAATAACACCAAAAAATTGTCACGATTTTGATTGTAACACCACTAAAAAAAAAAAAAAAAAAAACTTTTATTCTAACACCACAAAAAAAAAAACAAAAAATTGGTTTCACCACCACTTAACTTTTCCATACAAAAAACCATTAGTGAGCCCCACATTGTACACGTGTCATACATGTATTGGTTAAGAAAAATTTCAATTTAAAAAATAAAAATAAAACCTTAACCCAACACAGCTGCCACTTGCCCCAGTCGCCGACACCCCTTCCCCCACCAAAACCGGCGAAACCAGCCAACTACCCCTACCCACCTTCCCCCTCCCCGAAAACCACCCCTTCCCCCCTTAATCGAGGCTGCAATTGATGATTTGTGGGTTGCTAACCACCGCAAATCACAGCCAATTCGAACCCCAAAACAACCACAAATGCCAAATGACAATCCACCAGATCAGTGCGAATCGACATTTGCGGTGGTTCGAATTGAAGGGTCTGAATTGGTTGTATGCTGTGGCGGAGGTGGTTACGGGTATTGCTCGGTGCGAATTCATGGTTGGTGGTTGCGGCTGTTCGAAGGGGTGCGAATTCGTGGATTGGTGGTTGCAGCGGTTCGAAGGGGTGCGAATTCGTGGATCTGTGAGGCTAGGCGGAGCTGGGGTGGTTTTCGGGGAGGGGGAAGGGAGTATGGGCTGATTTCAACGGTTTTGGTGGGGTGCCGGCGGCTTAGGTAAGGTTGTCGATGGCTAAAGCGGGTGGTGCCGATGGTGGAGCCGGCCGGGTTAGGGTTAAGGGTTTTTTAGTTTTTATTTATTAATTTTTTTTTAAACCAATAAGTTATTGAAACGTGTTTGTTGTGGCCCCACTAACGGATTCCAAACAAAAATCTGTTATGTGGTGGTAAAATCAAATTTTTGGTTTTTTTTTTTGTGTTATAATAAAAGGTTTTTTTTTTTATTTTTTTTTATCGTGTTATAATCAAAATTGTGTCATTTTTCTGGTGTTATTTTCTAATTTTTCCTAATTTCGTAGCCAAATTTAATTTAATTATCACATAAATAATTATAGGGATTTTCAAATATCTAGCAACATAATCGATGGTTATGAAATTTTATATAATCTTAGAAATAAGAACCAATAGTTATTCGAACTCTAAACTTACTACACTAATAATTGAATAATATTAAACCCGGAATTGTGAAATTGACAAAAATAGAAACAACAAATTACCTCAGAAGCTGCTTTGATGGGTGCTACACGTATCAGAAGGCGCTTCAATGGAGAGCGTTGAGAGCGCTCAATGGAGAGGGATAGAGAGGAAGAGGTACGGGGTACGGGGCACAGGGCAGAGCAGTTTAATACTTTCGCCACTTTCGCGTTGGATTTTTGGACGGAGTATGGTATGTGCTTTTATTTTTATTTTTTTACAAAAAAACAAATTAAATATGGTAAGTGAATTAATTTGGTGGGAATTTGATTAACTAATATATCTTTCATTTCCTATTATACACCACCAATTATTATTTGACATAATTTCTCTCCCTACCCAGTTTCGGGGGTATCGACTTCATGGGAAGTGGATTTTGGGATTGTTAGTGGTTTCGGGGTTTTTGGGTTTGCTGGAGTTTCGGGGTTTTGGGTTTCGTAATGGTTGGGGTTTTGGGATTTCGAGGTTGTCGGCTTTAGGGGGGAGAGGGTGGATGGTCGGGAAAGTGAGGGGAGGGGTGGTCGAGGGGAGGTCGAATAAGTAGTCTGCTTATAGTATATAACTATATAATGTAGATGATTAATTGCATCAAATTAACATTAAATAAGATATCTTTTGCTATTACTCCATACTTTGTAAATACTCCGTATAAGATCTTCTTAAATGATACTGCCTCCGTTTTCAAAAAAAGGTCACGTGTTGGTACTTTTTGCACAGCTATTATTAAGGAAAATAAGATAGTGGAGAAAGATAATCTTTTGTCATTGTTTTGATTTTTAACACCATAAAAAAGTTCGAAAATGTATTTTTAACACTTAATTAAAAAAAAAAAAACTTTTACTTAAACATTAAAAAAAAAAAGTTTAAAAATATGATCTTACCACCAATTAATTAATTTTTGATTTTTAACACTACAAAAAAAGTTCAAAAATGTTTTATAACATTACCAAAAAAAAAAAAATTAACTTAAACACCACTAAAAGTTTTTTGCCAATTAACTTTTACTTAAACTCTATATAAGTAATATGCACTACAATAATCAGGCTTATTACCGAACAACTTTGCACCGACGGCCAAAAAAAACCCTGATAGCCACCACCCCCTCCCCTTCCCCACGTGAAAACCCTAACCTCAACTCCTAGCCCACCGAAAACCAGTTGGTCGCCTCCCCTAATTTGCGAAAATGGCCGGTAGGCCCACCCACCCCCTTCCCTTACCCCACCACCTAAACCACCCCATCCTCCCTTCCCCAATACTAAAAAACGACCCCTCAAACGGTTTTGGGGCAAGGAAGGGGGAACGACTACTGTTAAGGTTGTTATTTTTGTTTTTTTTGCTTTTTCGGCGAGGCGGGTGATTTAGGGGGTGGATAGGTTGGGTGGTTCTGGGGGTTGGGAGGGGTCGACGACCATTTTTGGGGGTTAAGGGAGGCGTTCGACTAGTTTTCGTTGAGTTGGGGATTCGGGTTTCACTTTGTGGGAATGAGAGGGGGGAGGCTGTTGTAATCCTTCGAAATTTTGGAAAATATTTTTTTAGCCATTTTAAACTAATAAGGGTGGTTTTTTTTTTTTTTTTTTTTTTTTTAATTTTCATCAATTCTTTGAATTTGGAGTCAAAATGAAATTTGAATTTTGACGCTAAAATACTAAGAGGATATAAATAAGTTTTTAATTATTTAAATAATTAACTTCATGTTTTATATGATATCCTAAAATATTGCAAAGGTATTACTTTGAATTTTAAAATTCTCAAACTGATTTATTTATATGATATCTTGAAATCATTTCTCCTAATTATTAATATTACCACCGTTTTTAATCCTTTCCAAAGATTTGACATAAAATGTGAGAAGGAATTGTCAAATCGTTGCAAATAATTTGAAACGAAGGTAGTATAAGTAGAGCTGACAATCTATGACACGACACGACAACACGACCGAAACCGGCACGACACGAATACGAAGTTACTGAGAGAAAACACGAAGTCGACAACACATGACACGAAATCAACCCGAACACGATCCGTTTAGATAAAGTGGTCAAATTATGCAATAATCTTACATTTCACATATTTTTTGATAGATTTTATGAACAACACGAAATTGACACGATACCAAACATAAACACGACATGACACGACACGACTTTTTGCCAGCTCTAAATATAAGTTTGAAATCTTAAAAATGTTAACCATCAAGGTCACAAAGGTTTTTCCAAGTAGTAGGTATAAAAAAGCAATTAAAAGTGTTGCTCCTAATATAAGTTTGTTATTCGTAATTAGAATTCTTCCAGTTGCCCTCTTCCCAAAATATTGTACTCTAATCAAACATTGAAAAGGCTGACCATACTAATAAGACAAAATTGAGATCAACTAGTTGCATTAAGTCAATGTTACCCCCACATACAAAACTATACTTCTTTTATTTATTGTTTTTCCAGGAACATATACAAAACTTAAAAGCTATTCAGTATTTTTAAACATTTACTTCGTATTAAAAGTGGAATATACGCTTTACACTGAATCTAGAAATAGGCCGCACAAAAACTGAAAAACCCATTAACATCTTCGTATTAAAATAACTTCACTTTAGAGCATATTACAATCACCAACTCCAAAAATCCTACTCCTATATTTAGTTGTTAAAATTGCAGCAGAAGATCACATTCAACAATTTATGAACAAATCAAGAAGAACAGAACTAAGATGAATTTTTTATTTTATTGAGCTCAAGATCTAGATTACAAGTGTATGTAAGAGTTTTACAATCAATCGTCCAACTCGGCTTTCTTCTGCCACATCATCAGCTCCAATATCTTCAACATAAGTAGTCATCAAATCTGGTGCAACTAACTTATTTATTAGATAAGTAATGAGAAAATCATAAGACTATACTTCCTCAATCAACTCAATATATATCAGCTATCTTCATGTTATCAAGAATGAATTGCAGTGAGTTTTCAATAGAAGAGTATTTATCCAATTGCACCCAAGCATCATCTCTCATTTCTAATGCTTTCTTATGCTTATTAGAGTTTTCCTTTAACATCGTTAGTCTATCCAGAGAGATCTCAAGCACCTTTCATAATATCATCAGCGGTAAGCCCCAAAAATACGATCTTCGGAACAGTAATATGGAAGCTTTGATAGGCTAAAGCAAATGATCCAACCATATATGTCTTAGCAATTTCAAAAACATGTGCATTGAAATCGACTAAAATTCGTGCTGGAATTTCCAAACTATCACAAACCAATCTCATAAATTTCCGGCACTGAACATCGGGCTGATGATGGCAAAGAATCCAATATTATAATCTCACGTAATTTGTTAATTTATCTTACGTAAATGATTTTGTATAATTTGTTTCATATAATATAAAATGTTTTTGGTGTATAATTAATGATTCACAGGAGCTGAACATTTGCGTTTTTGGTTATATGTCTTAGCAATTTCAAAAACATGTGCATTGAAATCGACTAAAATTCGCGTTGGAATTTCCAAACTATCACAAACCAATCTCATAAATTTATGGCACTGAACATCGGGCCGATGATGGCAAAGAATCCAATATTATAATCTCACGTAATTTGTTAATTTATCTTACGTAAATGATTTTGTATAATTTGTTTCATGTAATATAGAATGTTTTTGGTGTATAATTAATGATTCACGGGAGCTGAACATTTGCGTTTTTGGTTATATGTCTTAGCAATTTCAAAAACATGTGCATTGAAATCGACTAAAATTCGCACTGTAATTTCCAAACTATCACAAACTAATCCCATAAATTTCTGGCACTGAACATCAACCTGATGATGGCAAAGAATCCAATATTATAATCTCACGTAATTTGTTAATTTATCTTACGTAAATGATTTTGTATAATTTTTTTCATGTAATATAAAATGTTTTTGGTGTATAATTAATGATTCACGGGAGCTGAACATTTTCCAGGATATAAAATTGCGTTTTTAGTGAAAATTATGAAAAGGGCAAAAATGAAAAGGGGTCTTTAAAACTGTATAATTGCGTTTTTGGTGTATAATTTGTTTAATGGATTGATTGATTAAATAAAATAAAAAAAAAAAGAAAAAAAAAATCTGCATTTTGCAATGTCAATACCTGGACTTTCCAATTATGGTACTATATTATCTTTAAAACTTTCCTTCTTATTATTAATTGTCGGTTATATTTTGGGTTTTGTATCTTAAATGGACGTTGTATTGGTAAGAAATAAAATATTTCCTAAAACAAACTATTTCAGATTACAATAAAATATTTCCTTGAAACAAACTAGTAAATTAGATTAAGTGGAGCGGGCGAAATGAAATAAGGTAAAGAGGAGTAATAAGTTATGCTATAATACCCTCTCCATCAATTTTTTTATTAAAGATCTTCACATTGATGGATTATGTGGGTAAAAAAAATAAATATGTAATTATACAAGAGTATTGGATATTTTTTTTATGTGTGATTTTATTAGATTTTTGGTGTATATATATAATTCTTGTCGGCTCATAATTTAACAAGGTGTATGTAAAATAAGAGAAGATCTAATCCTCCTATCAACTTTGAGATATTCGAAAGGTACCAAGTTGTGTTGCGTGCATATAAGTATGTGGCTAACCACACCGTGTGACCACTTATAAAAGAACAATGTAACCCATATAACACTGATCAAGTAACCTTCTATAACACTGACTGATATAACACTAATTGAGTAACCCTAAAAACTGACAAAGTAACCCCTTTAACACTAACCAAGTAACCCCTATTACACTAACAAAGTAACCCCTGCCACACGGTGTGGCTAGCCACATATAAGACTTTGTGAAGTTTAAAAGATTAATGTCTCATTGTCGATCCAGATAATAGAAGATTAAGTCATCTATGTTCACATTTTAATTATTTTACTTCAATTTTAGTAGTGCATTTTATTCATCACCTAATATTTTATCAAACTTATCTTAATTTAATTATCCCTACCAAGGCTTTGTGTCAAAAAAAAAAAAAAAATTCCCTGTCAAAATTTATTTAAACATTTTTTTTAATTGAAGTTATCTTATATATTAGTTCGTATTACGTTTAGTTTGGATAAGTTTATATATTAGATAAGTTCAAAAAAATAAGTGTAGACAATGGTTCCAAGTTTAGTTTACAACTTTAATAACCAAATTAATCTTTTTTGCTAAAAAAAAAGGTGAATTACTAAATGAAATTACAGTACTTAAACCAAGTTTTTCATCCTTTGACCATTATATTCTATTCATTTTCAAGATCAAAGAGATGCATCAACAGGTGATTGAGAATTTACCAATCATCCATATTCCTATACACGAGGTAGAAAGACATACTTGGTAATAAGCAAGAGAAATAAAGGATGCTGATAGTCAAAAAGAACAGTTTGTGGGGAGATTGTTATTGGGCAGCAAATAATTTAGTTCTTAGGCAGTACTCGTCAAATTGTTTTCTATAGAAAAGGCATAGGGAATACAAGGAGAAGATGAACTTTTCAGACACCCAACATATCCAAATGAGCTAAAAGCTCATCTAGCAATACAACTTATTGTTACATACACGGAAAACTCATCAGTGAATGCACCTCAATGACCTCATCAAAAACCAAAAATTACAATAATTGTTTTTAGACAACGAACCTCATACACCTCAATCTGTCCGTAGCATTTTGTTCATTATACCATTAGCAAAAACAAAAATTGAAAATCACACAAACAATCATACAATAACATATCATTTTTTGCAACTCAGCCATTCGTCTATTCAAATTCGAATAAAATTCAATCACCCCAACTCATCTAGGTAAAAAACACAGAATTCAACGTCGCGTTTCAGTCAGCAAGCCTCGTGCACACGCCTAAATCTCGTGGTATTGAACCAGCAAGGGAATTTGCCTGCAAGTGTAACGATGATAACCGTTTCAAGGCTCTTAGTTGAGGGGGAACCACACCAGAAAATGAATTATTACTCAATAAAGCCTCTCTAGTTTAGTAAGTTTTCCAAGTTCTGCTGGAAATTCACCAGAAAATCTATTGTTCTCCAAAATTATTTGACCCATGGCAGTCGAAATCCCTATATCTGAAGATATCCGACCTGTAAATTCATTCATTATTACTGAAATCCACTATATCTACATTAGGCATTGCCCATATACCCTCGGGAAGTTGCCCTGACAAACGGTTGTGATTGACTCTGAACCTCACAAGTGATTTACATTCAACATAGGAACCACGAATTTCTCCGGAAAACCAATTATTCAGAGCAAGCAAAAACTGGAGGCCTCAGCTTTCACACAAGTACCTAGGAAAGGAACCAGTAAAATTGTTTTCAGAAATTTCTATACTAACTAATGGAGAGAATCTCCCAGAATTTGCTGGAATTTTCCCTGAAAGTTGTTCCTGTAAATCGAAAAGCCTATAAGATTGCGTAATTCTTTAAAATCACAAGGAAGTCCCCCTACAAAGTCATTCTCATACGGCTGAAAAACTGTCAGGTTCTTCAGATTTGCAATTTCTGGAGTCTGGAGGCAACTTCCCAGAGAAATGATTAGCTGATATATCAAATTCCTGCAAAAGAGTCTGATTTGCTAACTCTGAAGGGATTTCTCCAGTCAAATTGTTAGCAAACAGCCCAATCTTTGTCAGCTTTCACAACTCAGTTATAGATTCAGCAAACTTCCCAGATAGCCTATTCCTAGACAGATCAAATGTATCAAGCTCTTTCAGACAATAAATTGATTCTGAAAATTTCTCCTACCCTCTTGCAGTTGGATAAGAACAACCAAAACAAAATGAAGACATGAAAACCAGGAAAAAAAGGGCAAGAAAGTAATAAAAAAAAATAAAGAAAGGGAAAAAAAGGAACAACACTGTTGATAAGCTACACTAAAGTTTACTCATATTTTAGGAGTTATTAAGAAATAGTGTAATCAAAGATATTTTCAATTGAATTTTTGCATTGATAAATGTGATAAAAACAAAAGTGTCATCCAATTTGGAACAGAGGATTAAACAGTGAAAATACAACAAAACAAACACAAAGCTAATGTTAACGACAAAACACTTAACACCATCGCATAAAGCTTAACATCAATGACAAACTACAACCATTGCAGAACCTTGTAAAGACACAAGATATGCATTTATGAAATCCAAACATCTAATTACAGGAATAGAAGCAATTTATCAGTTGCTGAATAAAAGCATAAAAGTAATTTTAAAATCAAACCCAATCTTGAAGGAGTAATTTCTCTGGAAGATATCTCTTAGATGCATTGCATGGAAAACTTGGATGGTACAGAAGTTGTATCAGAGCCTTCAATTGATTCATCCACTCAACCTTCTGGCGCAAAGAAGGATGAGCAAGAAGAATTTGCTGATTTTTATTAACTCTGCAGATTTAGTAGTTGCCGGAGGGAAAGAGCAAAATGAAAATCGGCTTGAGAGGTACTTGAAAAAAGGAGATCTATTCAGAAAGTCAGAAGGCCTTAATCCCATCCACTTGATATTAACAAAATCAACATCGCTGACACCTACTGACTCGCAATCTTTGGACAAATCCCAACCACCATACAGCCGTGGTACCTCCTTAGGTGGTGTATCCAGAAAGATCAAGGGCTCAAGATCACGGATATCCAAATCAGTTGCTGCAACAATAGGCACATCAGGAAGGCATTTTCTAAGCTTCCTAAGAAACAAATAGCTAAACTTGTCCCACTTGACAAGAATAATTAGGACATCATGCGCATCTGTCTCACAAGTACTACTAATATGATATTGGTCGAGCTCGTTAAAATTGTCCATATTCAAAGCAATCATCACAACTTTAGCAGGATTAGTTAAGTTGGTGATATTCTTAAGAGGCCAGCGGAGTCCTCCAACAGAACGAATGCGCTGCTTTTTGTCTTGGCGATGTGAATATAATTTACCAAAAATACGTAAGTTTTCTTCATTAGTTGGTAGCTCCTTGGGTTTGTAAGAATGAAACTCTTTGTCCTCATCATAATCTTCGTCCTTGTGAACATCTTCGGACACTTAGCAGAGTAATAATTGAGGTGACAGCTGATGATGGCAAAGAATCCAATAATGTTCTATTGTCGCCGTCATCATCACCCTCATCATTGTCCAACATGGGTCATGAAGGCATGAGCATCAATCGCATCAACTCGGGATCAGGACGCATTCGATTGGGGTTCTCACATGATCCCAATTTTTTATATATATATGTTCAATTTTGTGTCAATAAATGTTCAATCTTGTTAATACGGCATGCTATATTCAAATTAGTATTTATTTTGGAAATTTTGATTTTTACCACCTGCCAATAACCACTTATTGACTTTTTACCACCTCCATAAAAAAGGTTGTATTTTACCACCAACAAAATTTCCAAAAATTGGATTTCACCACCAACTAACGGATTACTAATTCCGTAAATGAATCCGTTAGTAGGGCCCACCTTTCTTGACATTTCCTCTTCATCTCCCGATATTTTATGCCAACCAGCTGGGAACGAAATCAACCCCACCAAAGTTGGTTGGAATTTCGTGTGGGGCTAGGGAGGGGTCGAAATCCGGTGTGGCCTAGGGAGGGGGTCAGAATTAGGTGGTGGCTGTGGAGGAGGTCGGAATTTGGTGGTGGATTGGGTTTTCGGAGTAGTCGGAATTCGGTAGGAGGGGCTTTATGAGGGTCGAAATTCGGTGGCTAGGGTTTTCACAACAAAAATAAAAGCTTTATAACAATTAAGTTTGGCAATAGATTTTTAAAACGTTTCTAAATAGCAACGAAAATAATTTTTTTCATTGCCTAATTAAAAACAGCATTTTATGCTTTACTTTTTTTAATAATTAATGGCTACGTGTTTTTGATTTGTTGCTGTTTAAAACAAATTGTCTTACTAGTTGTTACTAGATTGTATCATATTTTTTTCTTGTTGCCATATAGCAACAAACTATGGCAACTGATATTTTATTTGTATTGATTTAAAAACAAACAAAGGCAATGAATTTTTGAATTGTTTCCATTAGAATCAAGTCGTCTAAACTATTGTTCCTAGATAATAACGTGTTTTTTATTTGTTGCCATTTACCAATGTCAGTTGATGACAACGAAATTTTTTTTTGTTGCCATTGGAGATACTCTTCTTACTATTTGTTGTTATATATAATGACATCAAATTCTAGTTTAATGCCATTGGAAATAAGTTGTGTTATAGCTGTTAATTTATATGCAGACCACTTTTAATTATTAAGTATAATATTATTTGGAGACACCCTTCTTATTATTTGTTGCTATGATGACATCAAATAGAGACGGATTTTTGATTTCGTCCCTAATTTAGAGACAGATTTTTCTATTTCGTCTCTGATATTTCGTTCACTTATTATCAATTATGTCCATAGAAGTATACAAATAGTACTTGGTATATAGTTGGTAAGAATTTCACCATGTGACTTCGAGGTCACAAGTTCGACTCCTACCAACTGCGATTCTTGAGACTGGGGATTCATAGAGCCTTACATGCAAAGCCGAGTCGAGGGGATCAGGTTGAACCTAATAGCAACCAATATTAATGATTTGTTGCTATTTTTAGGAACCAACTGTAACACCCCAATAATTCTCTCTTCAAAACCTGTATTAACCTGTAATAACTTGTGGTAACCTGTAAATACTTTTAATAACCTGTGAGAGAATTACTGGTATGCTACACCCACGTGTTAAAACGTTAAGGCTAGTTTCAGAAATCAACAGCGGAAAACTAATTTAGTTTTAAAAGAAAATGTAAATTTCAAAACTAATAATCAAAACCAAATTTAGACTTACAAGTTGGAACCATAACGACCCTTATTCAAATCCAGTAAAATAGAAAGTAAATGGAATTAGAACCAAAATAAAATTCGATTTATGATATAAAATAAGCTAAGTGAATAACCAACGCTCCACTCAAATCCCATCACCCTGATGCAAATCAGTTTATGCAAAAACCTGTGGTTAATCTACTCCCCAATTTTACAAGTGTAAGAATTGGATCATTACAGGGTCATTGAAGGCGAAGGCCATGACCAAGAGAAACACACAAAAGCACGTCATCAGCAACGCTGAGTACATACAAGCTACGAAACACAGTAAAGAGCCTTAGCACGATACTAACAAGCATTCCATACACTCAATATAACCATTGACTCGAACACATGATTCAATTGTTACTTATTACAAGGTTTTTATTTAAGTAGCATTGACCACTTCATTAATTGATTGGATTAAGCAATAGACCGGGTTGTCCCCCCGTGCTCCATTCCGGAACATTAAATAAGAAAACCCTATGCCTCCTTTCGGAAGACATTAATAAACATCCAATGGTTGACGGGCGCGACTCCGTCGCCATAGCTAGTATGAGATCTCATCTAACTCATTATAATTTTAAGAGAATTTAAAACAAGAGACTCGTAGATCAGACGGCCTCTGAAAAGTACACGGCTAATACCCCGTGAAACCCAACCCCTATTTTTCAATACTCTAGATGTGCACAAATCCAGAGTTTTATTGCTCATGCTTCTTGCACTTTACGTGATTTACCAGTTTAGATTAGGTGATGACTCGCATGCAATCAACACAACCAATCATACATCAATCATACAAATCATTCAAGTTTCCAATTCAATTCTTAATTTATTAGTGACAAACAACATGTATTATTGCATCCTTTAACTACCTCGGTGTATAAACACCTTAAATGCATAAGGCACCTCATATCCACAATCTTGTCTTATAAGACTTTAACTCTTTCTTTACTCATTCCATTTCAATACAAATGAATAAGTAATTAAAATGATTCATTCCATATATCCTTGTATTTTTGCCTCTAAGCTCACTTTGCAAATTATTGCATAAATAATGTTCATAAGGAAAATCAATGCAAATTTTCTCATACATAAATTAAACCAATCATCACATTTATCATCAATCAACTCATTACCAAATAATGCCAACCAATCCACAAGTTCCTTAGCATGATTCTAGGTTTTTTTTTTCCAAGTCCCTAAACATGCTCCTAGAATCAAGTTTCTCGTATTCTCATACGTACCTTAATTAAATCATCTTTCCAACTAGCCACGATGCTAGAAATTACTCAACTTAAAGTCTCCTACAATACCAAATACAAAAACTCAATTACTTCCTTGATTACACAAATTTCTAGCAACTTTTAAACACTTTAAACCTTCTCTAATAAGCCGAAATTTTGGTTTAAAACCTTTAAAACTCTTTCTTTAAGTGGGTAATTAAAACCACAAAGTAAAAACTCATTCATGGTGTTTATATAAAAATTCTAGCACACTTTTTAAAATTTAAACCCCCCAAATAAATCTGAAAACTATTTTTAAAACATTAAACCTTCGTCAAAAATCAAAAACTGTCCGAAAACCCTATTTAGAGGTTGATTTTGGCCACGAGAGAGTGGTACTCGTTACCAAAGGTAGTGAGTTATGATTAGAACGTTGTTTACACACGGAAAACACTATTTTTTTTGTAAAAATCGGACGAGTTACAATATCAGTGTGATTAAAACGGGATTAAAAATAATTAAGAACGGAGATCGGAATTTGATTACCTAAAATTCGTTTTTATGTTTAATAAATCTTTATAAATTCAATAGGAATGAAATCCTTAATTTAATTGATTATTAGAACCCTAAAAATCAACACTTTAATAGTTAAAACCCTAACTTTTAATACTTTATAAAAATCATAATTTAAAACACTTTACAATATGAAATTTATAATCTTTAATCATTAAAACACAATTATAAAACATACTAATCACGTTTCAATAATTAAAATCTAAAATCCATAGTATATAATTATAGGAATAATAATTAAAACAAGAGGGGAGATAAGGGTGGCTCACGGTGGGGTGGTTGCCGGCAATTTTTGGGTGGCCGGAGGTGGCTCGCCAGCGGGATGTTGGAGGCGGCAACAAGGTGGTGCAAGGTGGCGTGAGGTGGGGGTTTGTTTCTCCCAAAACCCTCACGTACAGCATCATAAAAAAAAGAAAAAGAAAGAATAAGAAAAGAAGGAAAAGAAAAGAAGGAAAAGAAAAGAAAAGAAAATTAAGGGAAAAAAAAATAGATTACTTACCTCAAAATCTGATTTTTGATCTCTTGTGTGGGAAAATTTTGGGGTATTGAGAGGTATTTATAGAGTAGGGAATAAAGACTAGGGTTGGGCTTAAAAAAAATAGGCTTTAGTTATGAAATATTTGACCCACAAAGGTTCAAATAAAAGAATTGGGCTTACTTAAATGAAATGGGTTGGTCCACAAGGAGTATGTAAGGATTAATAAACGTTTAGCCCAAAATAAATTATACTTTTATAAAACTCAATAATTTAAATACTTTAGCCCTTTAAATATTTAATTAAAATACTTGAGTACTTTAAAAATATATTTTATAATTAATTAAATAATTTATAAAATACACAAAAAATACGGGGTATTACACCAACATTAATAATTTGTTGCTAATTTTAGGAACCAACATTAATAATTTGTTGCTACTTTTAGCAACAACCAATGGTAATCTGTTGCCAACCCATGCACCAAGAACAACAACCATCATGGAAATTATATTTATATGAATGCAATATTGCAACAAAATTGTTTTGCAATTGTTAGCCAAAATCCCAAGGCAACAAGCCTTTTAGCAACAAATAATTTTCGTTTCCAACCCATTGCTAACTAGAGTTGGCAACGGATTTTTGGTGAAATATTGACTTAATTTAGTAGTGTTTGGGGTCAAATATTAGTTG